AAGCAGTATGTGACCAGTGCCATACTAGAAAATCCTCAGGAGGTCTGAAATCATGTTCAGATCACATCCATGGTGCCCCAGGGCTCTACCTTCCAGTGGGCTCCAGCCACACCCTCTTCCAACCAGAGGGATCTCAGTTACAGTGGTGTAGAGGACTCCTGTACAAGGTTGTTCCTTCCTTGGGTACTTTCCCTCAGTCCTCAAAGTAGTAGCTGCCCTCCTTACACTTCCTATTCCAGTATTCCTCAGAGTCTTCCCTTACCCCTTTTAGTAGCTAATCACCTCTTACTAATTAATAACTATGAATATTACATTTTCCTTATTCAAATTACTAGTGTGGTTTCTGTCTCCGACACTCTTTGTAATAACAGGTTTGGTTAGGAGAGGGCTTATCGCCCATGTACTAATTCAGATATCTGAGCCATCTATGGTACTCACTATTTCCGAATCATCAGATCCAAAAAGCACAATGATGTCAATGAGGTAGATCAATGTGATGTTTTGTGGCACAGCGAGATAAAAAAATCTCTGCAGGCTAATACATGCAGACCACAGAACTGACATGGTCCTGAGGCAGGCCTGTATGTGCTTTGGCCCTGCTGGCTAGAATAAACTTCTGACTGTCCTGACAAACCAGTATGAGGAAAAGGACATGAGCCAGCCCAACAGCTGCATACCAAACACAGGGGCTGCGTAGACGTGGCATTTGCATCAAGACACATCTGAGTTTCCTAAGCGAATTAAGTGGAGATACGCTAGCACAATCGCTGCTCTTACATTTTCAGCTCTTTGATGGTGGCAGTAATTTCGTCCATTCCCCCAGGGATACAATATTGCCTTTGATTTTCCCTTGGTACCAGAAAAAAACAAACTCACTGCCATTAGGTTGATTCCAACTCACAGCGACCCCCACCAGGTTTACAAGGCAGCACATCTTTATGGAAGTAGATCGCCCTGTCTTCCTTCCACGGAGTGGCTGTTGGGTTTGAACTGCCAGCCTTCTATTAGCAGTCAAATTCCAAGGGCTTCCACTTAGCCCTTCCTACCATAATGGCCTCCACCCCAAGGGTCAGAAAACCAGTATGAGGATTCTGCCGCTTGTCAAGAATGCCCATTTCAATCATACGTTCAAGAACTAGGAAATATGGCCAGTTTGACTGATAGTGGGGCCCAGCTTGTCCACTGCCCCATACTCTGGTTAAGACTCCATCTATCAACTAACTACTATTAGCCTCACTTTGACTACTGAGCCATTTTGGGTCCCCAGCAACTTACATCCGTTCAGAGCCAGTGTCCAGTAATCCCCAAAAGATCTGGGTCTTGCCTTTACCTCAGCAGACAAGTCACTCTGACAATAAGCCCTGGTTCCTCTGGGGAAGACCTGGAGGAAAAGGATAGTATATACTTGCCTCTCCTTCACTCATGGGGCTCTGGTCTGTGAACTAGCTTAGGTCTAGAAACTGTGACCTGCCCTGACCACTTACCAAATGTTCACTTTTATAAAGAAAAGCTCTGGGGAGGGTGATGACTAGTGCAGAAACACCTGAAGTTGAGAGCATGAATCGCAGACTAACCTAGCCAGTCACTTCCCAGTTCTACCGACATTTATTCCCCTACTAACAAATATCCATATGAATCTACATTAGGCACTTTTGGTGATCAAAAACAAGAAAGTGGCAGACCTTGACTTCAAGAACAGTTAACATTCATAAAAGACCAGGCGAATTGGTCTGACAGACCTTGGTGAAACTCCAGAGACCATGGCCCCTAGTTAGCCTTCAGGTCTGGAAGTGAACTCACTCCTGTGGCTTCCAGCCAACCAACAGACAGGCATATAACGTGAATGAATATTTATACCAGGTAGATATACACTCCTTAGAACGATCAATCATGGGAGAACAGAAGGCCAGTATTTGCACAGGGAGATAGCTAGACAGTATTTATACCCAGGGAGGTTTGGTGGGGGGTTAGGGAAGAGCAGGAATACATAGGAAAGGAGGATACAGGGAAGAGGTAACTACAGCGAGGAAGTGAGAACAGAGCTATTACATTGTGGGGAATGCAGTCAATGTCATGAAACAAAATGTGTAGGAACTACTGTAAGGAAAATGAATTTGCTCTGTAAACTTTCACTCAAATCACAATACAAATTAAAAAAAATAAAAAGAACAGCATGATTTACCTATAAAAATGATAGGGAGGAAGAATCTATGCTGAGCAAATGCCCAGAGGCAGTAAAACACAGGGTGGCTATAAGAAGTAAGTGGGAAAACAGGAAATGTGAAAGAGATCAAAACAGGCTGAAAAGCTTTCTTAAACTCAGATCATGGAGCACTTTGGATAAGAGACTAAGGAATAGGGAAACACGGGTGACCCTGTCTTACATCCAAGTTACACAAACTGGACTTACCAATAGTCTGGTTTTATTTTTTGGTTTATTTTATTAGTGGGAGCTCTGGTGGTATAGTGCCTAAGGCACTTGACTGCTAACCACCAGCGGTTCAAATCCACCAGCCACTCCTACTAAGTACGATTGGACGATCTACTTCTGTAGAGATACTGCCTTAGAAACCCAAGGAGGGATCGCTGAGTTGGATCTGACTCGATGGCAGTGAGTCTGGTTTTTGGTTTTATCATTAGTAATTTTATAGTGAAAAGAGTAGCTGAAGTTTTATTCTAAACAAAATCAGGAGCTTCAGTTGCTTGAAAACATGGACCTAAACACTGATTGCTTTGCTTTGCACATGTGGGAAGCAGTGAGATGTTACTGTGAAATACACAAAGAAAAAAAGAAACATACAGACAGACAATGCTCACTAATTTTCTGACTGGAAATGCCATCCTCATTCCCAGAGATAATCCAGATGATTAACCACCAGAAGCGGAGTAATCACAACTGGCAAAATGCCAATGGCGCCCAACTCTTCCTCATCATTGGAGTAAATTTCTATGATTTATGTTTCTCTTTTTAAAAGTATGTATGTTATTAAAATATATCTAAGTTTATAGGTAATGTTCTAACTCCTAAAGACAAATAAGTATTGGATTTTTAAAGAAACTGATGATAAAAGGCAATCATAATGAAAACTAGAAAAAGAAAAAGTATTTCACTTACATCAGAATGAACTTATGACTGAGTTGTCAGAATGGAAGGCCACTGTCAACTGGGGGCTACCTGGAGTGAAGAATTTTGAGCAGTCGGATAAAATGACCAAATTCTGCTGAATTAATCTTTCGAAAGCACAAGTCAGTAAAATGTACCAGAGAAGACTCTTTAGAAGGCTAACACAACTCTACACATGAAGGGGTACCTGCATTACGATAGTGGCAGAGAAAGGAAGGCGAGATGAACGGGAAAAGTACTTCAGAGTTACAATAAAAAGACAGACTTGGCAAATGATAGATGGGAAGTGCAGAGAGAATCAAAGATGGTGCTTGGTGCATCTGGGTAACTGGGGTCAGGGACGTTATTGAAGAGTAGGGGACACAGGCACAGAAATGGACCCTGTCATTCTGGATAGTAAGTTGTTACTATTACTTGGTAATAACTTATGGCAATTTCTTTGCTTTCCTTTAAACAGTTTTGTTTTTAGTTAGAAAGAGAGAAAATAGTAAGATATGGCATTTTTCCAGGAAAGTTTTAATCTAAAAATAGGGAACAAAAGCAGGAAAGACACACAATTACTTAAAAAACAATCTAAATGGTTTCCAATCTAATACAAATGGCTCATCTGGCAAAAGCTTTCACAGTCTGCCAATTTAACCCACTTGAAAACATCCATCTTTTAAGAAATGAGCTCCTTCTATGTTATTTTTTGTACAGATACTGGTGGGAAAGCCTACATTTAAGGCAATGTAGTGTGGTAGCTGAAAACCTTGTTGCCAGACAGCCTCTAACATGCTCTGAACTGTTCTCACACTTCGTCTAAGAACTTGTTCCAAGATAGTGTACCCAATAGGGGGGAAAAAAAAAGGCTATGCAAATATCCTAAATTTAAAATACATTCAAAGTCAGTACATATTTTTATGTATTTCTAAAACTTTGATAACTGCTCATTTCTGCCCTAATCTAAAATAATAGGAAATTAAATTTTGTATTTTAGCACCCCCTTCTGGTAAAATGATTGAAACACTATAAAAGATTTTGTTTAGCAGGGCAGTTTTCCTCTTAAGATTCAAACAGACTGCTACATATTGTATAGTGGTTCCAGCAGTAAAATGTGTTTGTGGGTGAGGGTAAGGTTGGGAAGGAGGTTCCTTACTCTACAAGACAGGCATGGCAGATTCACTTCATCACCATTTTACTGAGTGCCCAATGCAGGCCAGGAATGATGCCAGAAGCTAGGACACCACCCTGGCTAGGACACAACATTGAGGAAGTCTGACCCTGCCTGAAGGCGCTTACAGGTAACCACTACAACCCAAGAGAGAGACATGCACAGTGCTGTGATTGCAGACTGAGGAATTGACACCAGACCAGGAGACATGACAAGACTTTCTCTTTGACAGTTAAGTATTTTGGAAGAGGCCTAGTTAACTGGATGAACGGGGGGAAGAGAAATTTTAGGCCAAAGGAACAGCACAAAAGCACAGAGTACAGCTAATCATGACATGCTTGGGAGAAGAAAGTGGCTCAGTGTAAATCAAGAGAAGCATCAGAGTTGGACAGCAGTAGAAAAAGTAAGGCCATATCACAAAAGGCCTTACAACATACTAAGTTAAGGAGTTTAAACTTTTTCTTATAGGCTATAAGGGACCCCAGGAATGATTTTAATCAACTAAGTGTCAAAATCTGATCAACACACAGTTTTTGATTTTCCTTTAAGGTACCAATACTTCAAAAATCACTCAATAAATGACTTGCATACTATAGACATATCCCATAAATAGATGAAATAATCCAGTGAAGTAACTTTAAAACAAAACTAAACAAAGCCAGGATGTAATTTTGGAAACCCACAGCAAAGCTGCAGCAGATGACTCACAGTGTCCATAATCACCTTTTAAACTCGTCATGGTAGAATTCAGACTTGCAGGTCACCATCTCACTACCCTGGATGTCCTCACGACTCCGGACGCCCCCAAATACGTAGAGCTCCATGGCAACTCCACAAGCCACAGCTCCAAATCTGGAAAGCCACCCAGATGACATTAGATGTGGGATACAAAACTTGAGAGCTGGTTCCCTACTTATCTCTTATGCACTTGTTTTAAGTTTTATCATTCAATCTTTCAAGAATAGGCGAGTCTTCCTTTTTCAGAAAATGGATTACTCATTCAATTTCATATAAAGCAAATGTCAAGTTAAAGAGAAGGTCACTGTGAACGAAAAGAGTGAGCCCTGGTGGCAGTGGTTAAAGTGCTCTGCTGGTAACTGAAAAGCTGGTGTTTCAAACTCACTTGCTGCTCTGCAGAAGAAAGATGAGGCAGTCCGCTTCTGTAAAGATTCCTAGCCTTGGAAACCCTATGGGGCAGTTCTACTCTGTCCTGTAAGGTCGCTATGAGTCAGGGATTGAGAATAACTGCTCTGAATGCAATAACGAATTTAGAAAGTAAAACAGCTAAAACGAAATAAAATGCCTAAAAGCTGTAACTTGTTTATTACACAATACAGAGCCTTGGAATGACTGGAAAGAGAACGCTGTTGTATGCTGTCATGTGGATTCCAACTCACAGTGATGTGATAGCGTTTCCAAGGCTGTAAATCTTTACGGGAGCAGATTTTCTGGTCTTTTCTCCCAGAGCAGCTGGTGGGTTCAAACTGCCGACCTTTTGGTTATCAGACCAGAGCTTTAACCACTGATGTACCAGAGCTCCCCAAGTGTTTGCTAAGCGTCTGCTATTACTATAAGGCTGCGTTGATTTTCTGTGTTTGAGAACAGCTATGCAGTCTTCTGTAATTTTAAACGGTAGGCCTTTCAGTATTTTTGTGTTCTACAGTTTAGGATAAAATAAAATGAGACTTATTTTACTGTGTCTACAAACAGTAAAAGAAGCATAATATACCTATGTTTTCATAGGTAACTAATCCGGTATATTCCTCTAAGAACTGTATTTAATAGTTCTTTCTTTAAGCACACACACACTCTTTAATAAAAGGACACTTAACTTAGATGTTTATCAGAGTGAAGGGGCTTCAGACTCAGTGAACATGGAAGGAATCTATGCCGTCCATGCCCGTTCATTTACCTCCTCTCCTTTAGTGGACAGATAGCTGTCCATTGCTGGGTCCTCGGATCATAGCATTCCACAGACTCAAACAGTTTTCCATACGACCCTCCGCCCATGGCGTAGATTTTCTTTTTCATAGCTGCGTAGCAGCCAATCTGAAAAGAAGAAAACAATGATGGGGGATGGCAACAATTATTATTTAACTTAAGAGTAATGAAAATTAACTTGCCTACAAAGAGTCCTTTAAGATATTTATGTAAGGATTTCATTTCTAATAGTAAAACTAAGGTAATTTCCAACATGAAAACGTGATTTTAAAAATGAGAAGCGCAATGTAATCCACAGAGTGTTAACCCTGAGAACAGGCGCTCTACCTCCATCTAGGACTAATTCACTAAGTGAGATTAAATCAATAACCCTCCTTTTTAAAGAGCTTCTAGCCCATTTCTTCACCACCATCTAGAGAGCCCAAGATTTAGATTCCGTGAAACAAGATGTTACTCAATTCCTGCCCAAAATAATTCAGTGAGAAAACCATTATGAGGACATGCCAGTGTCTGAAGGCCCTGGATTAGCTCTGGGCTGACAGGTCAATGTCCCACCTACAACAGGGAATGTAAATAAAGATACACCATACTCTCAAAACCTAATGTGAATCATGTGTTTTCACTCTACTCAGTAACAAATGGCTGTTCTCTACGTGTAGGTTCATTTTTATCCCCAAACCCAAGTCCTGCACTAGATGATCAGGAAAGCACATGTGGTTCCAACGAAGTGTTGCACTCAAAGAGCACGTACCAAGCACAGAACTCAGTATACAGCCGTGCCTCACCGAGCTCACGGACAAGGTCAATTCTCACATACTCAGTTCCCTGTCTTGGCATGTGCCTGATGAGAGGGAGGGCCAGCGACTGATAGAGACAGAATTCTATAATGGTAATTTTTTTTTGTTTAAACAAAGTCTACTGTATTAAAAGGCATATTTAGGAAATGAAGAAACAACTTAAAATCCAATGTGTAAATAAACTGCTTTTCCCTAGACACAGTTCTTACCTTTCTAACCATAGTCAAATCAGGTTGCTTTGTCCAGGTCTTCGAATAAATATCGTAACACTCCATGGAAATCAGTTCCTTCTCACCGTCCTCTCCTCCCAAAATGTACAGCAGCCCATCTATCTCCACAATCCCAAAGTTGTGTCTTCCCTGAAAAGATACCAAAGGTCTCTGTAGACAAAAAGTCAACTATCATAGTAAAAGCTGCTATTCACATACTGCTGTTGGGTGCCAATGAGCTGACTCTGACTCATGGTGACTCTACTGTCACGAAATAGAGCTGCCCCACAGGGTCTTCACGGCTAGAACCGCGACAGGAGATCCCCACGTCTTTCTCCCACAGAGCCCGAGGTGGGTCTGAACCACAACCTTTCAATTAGTAGCCAAGCACTTAATTGTTTGTATCACCAGAGCTCCTTGGTATTTGTGTAGTTAACAGAAAATTACATAAGTTTATTCTAGTGTTTTGAGAAACCATGCTCAAAAACACTTCTCCTAGTAAGGTTTCTTAAATATTTCTGATTTTCTTAACAGCTTATGCTGCTATCACAATAGACAGAGAGAACCCAAACGCAGTAACTGCTCAGAACAAGAGAAGTACACCCTTGGTGAACCTCCCACCAGTTCAAATAGCTCATGACACGGGGGAAGAGCACGACTATCTTCTGGTTCAGTAACATTAGTTCTGTGTCACAGGGAAAGAAGTTGCTTCCAGGGTGCATGTGAGAGGCAAGCAGGAAGCACGGCCAGAGGGAAGCCTGTGGTTAGGAGTGGACAACGCCCAGGCTCTACACACGGCTGCTCGGAATTACGGAGGCGTGAGACACTGTGCACAGCATTCATCAGCAAGCATTCCCCTCGAGCCTGCCATGTGCCTGCCAAGCACTCTTCCAGGCACTGGAGATGGAGCACTGAACAGAAGAGACCAAAATCTTTGCCATTAGAGTTTGCACAAAAACTTTGATAGTACCTGGTGTATGAGAAGGTGACATAGGATAAGAACAGAAAAAGAGAGGAGGGGGATAAGGAACCGAGGGACAGGAGGGAACAAAAGCTTGAAGGGGGCCAGGGCAAGGAATGGAGCTCTCTAGGGGGAAGATCCCGGTAGACAGAGGGAAGAGTAAGCACACAGGTCCCGAAGCGAGAGCGTTCCTACGTGTAAGAAGCTGCAAGGCAGGCAGGATGAGCAAGAGGACAGGGGAGGCTGCCCTCCCGTTTGTCTGAAAGGCAAGCCACAAGAGTGAGTTCAGTTTAGTCCCAAAGAATGTCTAAGGGCCACACTCTCTAGGGTTACACCAGCTCCTATCAGACCAGTAAGCCTGATGTTTATGATTCTGAGTTTTGTTCCACATTTTTCTCCCACTCTATCCAGAACCTCCAATTGTGATTCTTTTCAGAGTGGCTAGCAGTGATAGCAAGGCACCACCTAGTTCTTCTGGTCTCAGAGTCATGAAGGCTGGGGTTCACGTGGTACATTAGTCCTTCAGACTGTCTCCTTGCAACTTTGATTTGATTCACCTTATAAGGCCAAATGACAGACAAGCCCAGTAAGGTAAACACCACCACCAGGAGGTACGCGCTCATTAGAACAATCAATCATACGAGATCAAAAGGGTAGCCTTTGCCTGAGAATAAAGCTAAGAAGGCAGGAAGGGATAGGAAAGGACAACAAAAGGAAAACAGTGAACAGGGAGGAAGTTGGAAGACTGTTGTTACAATGTGGGGATTGTAACAAATGTCACAAGACAGAGTATGTATCAATCGTTGAATGGAAAACCAACTGGCTCAGTAAACTTTCACCCAAATCACAATAAAAAAAAAAAAAAAACTGTAATAATAAAAGGAAAGGGAAGAGAAAAAGAGGAGAGGCTGGAAAGGCAGGCAGGGGTTGGGCAAGGCTGCCACTTTATTCTTCTTCTCCTACATTCAGCACAAAACAAACAAACAAACAAAAAAGGACAATGGAAAAAAATTAGAAACTTATCAAACAAGAAAAGAGAAATATGTTTACCTCATTCATTGGTGGCAATGCAGACCATGTATTTAAATCCGGATCATACTTTTCTCCTGAACTCAATGTCTGCTTATTTTCATCTTGGCCCCCGAATACAAACAAAAATCCTTCTGCAAAAATCAAAAGAGACACTTACAAAATCTGAAAGATAAGCCTCCAGTATCTATCTCCCATTGAATGAAACTGCCACTGCTTGTAGAGGGAGCATCTGAAGGTACCTTCACCAACAAGGACCCTCTTCTCTGGACTTGGGCCTTTCTTACATTTCATCCTATCCGTGGTCCCAGAGTTGACATGTGTGAGTGACTGTGAGCAGTTCACTTCACTCAGTGTCTGGGAGTGGGTTCCCAGCACCCTAGAGCGTGAAGGAAGATACCAGCACTTGCTCTGTCACCAGGCAACTCTGTACGAACCCACTCCTCTACATCCTCCCCATTCCCCTCATCTCTGTGACTCCCATCCCAGCCCACACCTGCTCATCCAAGACCTCAGGAACATTCAGATGAGGGGCACCTGAGTGATCTCTATATGCAAAACAAGGTCTAAGAGTAATGGTCACACTTCTATTTGGCATAATGGTGGATTAGGTTATCTGAAGAAACTATTTTGCAAAACACATCCAAATTACTGGACAAAATATGAAACAAAACAAAACAAAAAAACCCCAACTAACTTATTAAATGAGAACAGGTCAACAAGACAATAAGGCAAAACTACAAGGAAAAAAGGATATAGAGAGGTTACTGAATACGGAAACCAATTTTGCTGTGATGGCATTTGCCAATCGGGAAATGTTAACCTTCCTCGTAATGGCTTTCAAAGATTAAAGGAACAGATATCTAAGCTCTAGGCCCACAGAGAATGGGGCTTTTGGCAGGGGAATCTTCACAGTGATGGCCAACCAGAATTAGTGCCCAGATTTAAATCTCTTTGCTTGTCTAGGGAGTCCAAAGCCTTGAATTTGGTCTACAGTCAATGTCAAACTAGTAGTGTTTATAGGCAACTGGCAGAAACAAATGCAAAATTTTTGTGGAATAAAATACTTTCATCCAAGACTTAGATTCTAAGATTGTAAGGCATGAAATTATCCCTTCAATTATGTTTAACAAAATGACCAGTATCCACAAAGCCAAAGTTGATGAGGCATACAAAGAAACTTTACTCTAGGAACAAGGACCAGCAGAAGCAGAACATGGGGAAGAGTAATGCAAAGACTTCAAATACTGAAATAATCAGAAAGAATGTAAAGTAAAGCTTATATATTCACAAAACAAAAGGCAAATCTGAATATAACCAGGAAAACAGGGTCTTTGGAAGTGATAGCTGGTTTGAAAAAGATTTAAGGAGAAATATAAATTAAAAAAAGGAAAGAAATAGGTAAAAAATTCAATGGATGGATTGAGCAGAATTCTAACAGCTTACAAGAGAAGCATGAAATAAAAGACAAAGAAAAAAATTATCATGAAGAAAGCACAGAGAGACACAAGATAGAAAATAACACAAAGAAGGTAGGAGGCAGAGAACAGAGTCCAAAGGTGCAGACATGTTCAAGGTGACTTCCCAAAGCAGAGGGGAGAGAAAAACACAGCCAAGGCAGTAACGAAGGCACAGCGGTGAGTGTTCCAGAACTGATGAGGCCGAGCCACAGGACTAAGAAGTCCAACTACTCTCAAATACAATGAAATTCAAAATAAAATCTACCTAAACACAGCATACTAAAACAGCAGAAAACCAAACACAAAAAGAAAATCTTAAATATAGACAATAACAAAAAAAGAGAGACAGATTTATACTGACAATTGACTTAACAACAGTAGAAGCCTGAAGTTAGTGGAAAGACATCTTTAATATGCTGAAAAATAATAAATACCAACCTAGAATTTCATACCCAGCAAAAATATCCTTTAAAATTGATGGTAAAATAATATAATTTTCAGACAAACATATCTGAGATTTGGCCACCAGGAGACCAACATTAAATTCAATTCAAAAGGATAAACTCCAGAAAGAAGGAAAATGATCCCAGATGGAAGGTCTGAGGTGTAAGATGGAAAGAAGAACAAAGAAAGTAGTAAGTATGTGGGTAAATCTGTGCATATAAATAACTAAATGAGACAAATGTATACAAATAAAACACACATATGTGTAAATATTTATTTATAAATAATCATGTATTATAATACTGTAAGATTGTAAAGCATAAAAAATGGAGTCACACTGTCCTAAAAGAGACACAATGCACTGATTTACATTAGAGTTTGATAACTTAAGAATGCATGCAATAACTTACAAGGTAACTATCAAAAGAATCTAACTTCAAAATTGATAGACAAGAAAAACTGAATGATGGCCAATAGGTAACCAATTTGTTTTTAAAAGGCAAGAATAATAATACAGAAGGGGCTGGACAACAGAAAGGAGCTATTAAAACAATTCCCAATTCAGGCAATACTATAGCACACAACTGCTCTTCTTACTGTTTAAAGTTTCTAAAATACCAACTTCTCTAGGGAATCTTTGAAAATTAATGATACAGGAACTGTGTGATAGGTGTGCACAGGTGAAAATTATACATTTGTTTAAATATTATGGGAGGAAAATTTCAGGGAGCTAATTCTGAGAAAATAAAAGACAAGACCCATATCCCACTGGCTACAGCACTCCATCCAGCTCTTTTTTACTGACAATAATTTTGGGATCTATAAAATGATGACATTGTTATACTGTAGTTTTAGCCATTTTTATGGTATGGTACGGCAAGTATGATAAAGCTTTAATAATGTTAACATTAGCAGGCACACAGAGAGAATAAAGGAGGACTCCAGTGCTGACAATAATTAGATCAACTAAAATGACACTTGTCAGGTGAATCTGAAGGGGCAGGCCTGAGGTGACGAGAAAGATGGCTAACAGTGGCAAGGCAGAAATCACAGTCTTTTCTAGCCCCTCCTCTGTGAAAACTCTGAATACCATGGAACAGTTTTCAAATGTGTCAATGTCAAGTAAAGCCTACTTTCTGCTGTAAAACAACTTTGATCAGTTGCCCCACGTGTCGGAGTGGAACTGTGCTCCAGAGGGCTGTCAATGGCTGATTCTCCAGAAGTAGACTGCAAGGACTTTCTTCCCAGGAGCCTTGGGGTGGACTGGAACTGCCAAGCTTTCTTTCAGTCAGCAGCCAAGTGTGTTAACCATATGTGCTGTTTTTGTTATTATATGCTGTTGAGTCAGACTTGACTCAGTGACCCCTCCTCGGGTTTCTGAGGCAGTATCGCTACGGAAGTAGATTGCCCCATCTTCCTTCCGAGGAGTGACTGGTGGGTTTGAACCGCCAGTCTTCTGGTTAGCAGTCAAGCGCCTTAGGCACTATGCTAAATCGTATGTGCTACCCAGGAAAAAAGTAACTTTATGCCATTGCTAATTTAAGTAATATTTTCTAAAGTCCCATATGAAATGCCTGCTTTTACATAATACTTTTGTTTTTGATATGATTACACACTATAATTCTAAACTGCATAAATTTCAAAGATGGGAATATCATGGCTCAAAGCAATTTTGTGTTCCAGGTATGGCCACACAGCTTACTGGTGGTAAGAATCACTGAATTTTGTTCTCTCTCAAGTAAATCTCCTCTACTAAATTCTTAGAAAAAGCTCTGTATGAAAGATTTGGGAATAATCAGAATCGATATAGACAGTACTATCTATCACAGCCTTGAGCGCTGACCCACAATGGAAATGTCACCACGTAGAGGTAATAAATTCAGATCTTTAAAAGCTGGGAGTCACTCTGTGCAACCCTGAAATCACACAACTTGATCTTGTGTTTTGAACCATACCTGCCGAGAGAACTCCATGGTTAATTCTTGGCATGCTCAAAGGAGCCAGTTCAATCCAGAGCTGCCTATTAGGGTCATAAAGAGGGCACATGCATCGCATTGCTGCTGTTGGTTTCCGTGAACTGAGGAAACAAGCAAGTGATGAGCAGTTAATGTGTTTTATATAGTCTGCTTATAATAATGATTACTCGTTTTACTGCTAGTAAAGAGTGTTTAGAACATTTAATAACTGATGCTTTTGATACCGAAAAATACAAGTTCTTATTTCCATAGAAATACCTCCTCCCTTCTATCACACTTTAAGCAACTCACACCCTTACTTACACTCGTTCTTCTCCACCAACAGTCACGATACACTCAGAGTAACCACGTGGTTTGAAATTGGCTAGCATTGCCTCTCCCTGCTGTGGCTGGCTGAGTGGTATATTGCTACACTCTTTGACAATTTCTCGTACTAATGGTTCATTCAGCATCTGTTCCCGTAAATAACTGGAGTCTAACCCTGAAACCCACAGTGCTGACATGACATCCTTCATGTGGACCTGCAGAACAGGGATGAAACGAGGGGACAAAGAATAGAGAGTGAGACACACAGCTTTGAGAATATACACTGTCCCACTCAGGAAGATCAAACTGTGAACAGGTTATTAGCAGGCAAGCTGTAAGTGCCAGTACTGTCTGAATATGCTTCCCTGGTCTTTTCTCTTTCTACTTTCTATTAAAATAATAATAATAAAAAAACCCCAACCCACCATGGAGTCAATACTGATGCACAGCAACCCTACAGGACAGAGTAGAACTGCCCCAAAAGGTTTCTAAGGCTGTAAATCCTCACAGAAGGAGACTCCATTATTATTCTCCTACAGAGCGGCTGGTGGGTTCAAACCATCAATCTTTTAGTTAGCTGCCAGGTGCTTTAACCATCATGCCACTAGAGCGCCTTCCTTCCTATAACTTTCATAAATACAAGTTTAAAAGTTAAAAATCATCAGTTTGGACTTAATGAATCACTGCAAAGTTTCAAGCAGCTTTCTATATACTCTAAAAGGTTCCCAGAGCAACCGGACAAGAGTGAACTCTGCTGTCATTTGCATTATTTCACATCTTTGGATGTACGGGGATTAAATATCATTGTTAGAAAAGTTATATATAGTAATAGTTTGACACAATACAGTAAACTTAGGTAATGAAAATATCTCAACATTAATCTTACAAGAAAAATACAGAGAAGCCAAAGTTCAAAGCAATCTTGTGAGCTACACAATCATGTTTGCTGCCAATGTGGATCTAAAACCTGATGCTCTAAGACCCTTCTTTCCAGGCTACCACCCCAGAACCTTCCCTCTCGGCACTGCACTGCCACGAGAACTCGAGGGCACTCTCCCACTCTGCCTGTCATGGTATCGAGCCCTCCATGGTGAGCCCGCACTCAGAAGCACCTCAGACCACAGGATTCTCCCCACTTGGCCAGAGATCCACTTGCTACCCTCTGGGCCTGCTGCCTACATCAGAGGTCATGGAGGAGTTAGCACAAGGGCGTGGGGGAGCAAGATATTAAAAAGAAGAGCAGGAGCACAACATTTCTATCATCTCCAGCTCAAACTTGAAGTGCACTCCCGAAAAAGAACTTAAAAAAGATGGTATCCTCCTTACAGGTATTAATATTTTCATTGCTATATTATGAGTTCAGTGGGCTCTGGTGAACTGGCCTAGAAAATCAACCATGTTAATTATTCTGTGGGAAGATGTATACCATTTGGAACAGAACCCTGGAAGTCAAGTTAAGCAAAAAGACAAAACACTGTAATGTGCATTTAAAAATAAATTATAAAAAGGACAAAGTTAAGCCTCTTATAAGCTGTAGGTACCTTTCTTATTTCTGTGTCATGTGCTATCCATCGAATTACTGCTTCAAATACATATCTTTCATTGCCAACATTTAACTTCTCAAGAGCAACCACTTCTTTAAGCTTTTGAGGACTCAGTTCTAGGAATTCCTCTGTGCTGCTGACATCCCGGAAATGAGTTTCCAGGTACTCCGTAGCAAGGTAGTGGACATGGTGCAGACAGTAATGGAGAGCAAAGTCCCGGATACCAATACAGTTCTCAGCAGCAATGCAGCCTTCTAAAAACTCACAGCACAGAGCTTTAAGATCCGTTAACAGGAGCAGGTCAGCCGCCTGTACGACATCTTGGATTGTATCTTCATTTAGCCTGATCTGTAAGAGCATGAGAAATATTTTATATTTGAATTTATATAATTTACAACCCAGACCAATGCTCTACTGGCTGAACCACAAGAAGTTTCTACTATGATAGATCAGAGATGGTCAAATACTGGCAATTTCAGTTTTCAACCCAATGTTTTTCTAGATGGGTCAGAGGGCACCAAGGTACCTTCAAACAATGTAAGCACTGTGGCCCTGGTCAGTTTTCCCAGCTCTTCCTGTGCTGCATCACCGTTACCTACCAAGAGTCCTCTCAGGAGAAGTGTCCATAATGTCACTTCTAAGAAAATCTTTAAATAATTGAAATGCTTGGGAAATGGAAAGCTCTGAACTCTATGGTAAACTGAAAATTACTTTCTTAATACCAGCACCAGGACCGCTGAAATCCTGCCTTCAAATACACTAAGTTTACTCTTGTGCCTTGGTAAGAGAATGGTACGGTGAACTGAATTAAGTCCATGGGACAGAGTGGTACACACTGCCCCAGAATCCTCATTCTGGATACCAAAACATGGTGTAGGGTGCAACTGACACAACCTGGTCTCAGAATGACTTACTGGAACAAACCCATAATGCTAGGTTTTGTTTTTTCCCCTCATAAACTTTTCCTTTTCCTTAGTTGTATTCATTTTCTGGCTGGATGTTTCTTCCCCTACCAACCTGGTGGCTTTTCCATGCATCAGGAAGGTAATGTAAAGAAATGGGCCTCAGAAATAGTCCTATAATCCCAAACGGTCCAGACTCTCTCAAAGACACGGCACTTCACTTACATCAGAAATGCAAAGGAGACTCTGCATAGTACAGTATAGCAAGAAACATTTTAATCAGATTTTTCTTATATATATAAAAAGGATAACTGTCAATCATTTTAGAAACTGGACAACAAAACTATGGGAAGAAGTACAGTGAACAAGCCACAAGTAAGGGGACATTTCTTGTTTATATGACATATTAAATTTGAACACAAGAAGGCAAATAGCTGTAGAAGATTCAAATACAAGCATGTGGAAAACACTAATTTTTATCTCCATAAAACCAAACAACCAAATCAGGGATTTGTTATAACTTATGATACAACTGTGGTTTTAAATTTAATTGGGAATAACAGACAGATCTCAATTTGTAAATAAGATTTCAATTCAAGCTTCAAGTCCAAGCCTCAACATGATATGCTCTTACTGGCTTATAAGTGCTTGTCATATTGATAACTGCTGCTTGATTCTAAAGTTAGACAAGTGGTTGGTCCTAAGCCTGGTCGTGTGATACTACAGAGTATCTCCAGTTATTTGTTCCAAAATTAATATGATTTCAATTACTCTAACAATTACACACGTACATACCCTTATATCAACACACCTACCACCTAGCATCTACAGAAAAGAGAAAGGGACAGTACCATGAACTGATAAGAAAAAAAAAAAAAGAAAAAAAAAAGGTCGACAATCAGGAAATTTGACTCTGGGCATAATGAAGATACTCAGAGAAAGCAAGCAATACACTTGGAATACTTAGAAAGTATGTAAGAGAGATAGCCCCGAGCAAAAGGAAAAGATAAACAAGAATGGTGAAGGCACAAAGCAGAGCAGAAAGCACGAGATTTCCCAAAGAAGAAAGAAACACATCCCCACACAACCGCACGTGACACACACTAACCTCTTCCTCTCAGTCAAAAACCAGCCTCAACCACACCTGGGATTTTTCTTAAGATTCCTTATGCTATACTTTAAATCGCATAATGGGGGCGGGGGAGAAAGAAGAGGGCAAAGGAAGAAAGAAAGATTAGCTATCACCTTCCTCCCTGGGTATCATTAATTCCTCCAAAATCTAAGTGGGAACAGGGAGTGACGAGAAATCAGGAAGAATGAGGTAGGAAGGAGATACTGGTACTGCTGAGGCAACCAGACCAAGCATCTTGATGTAACAGGGGGTCCTGTCATTGGTGTGAATGCTGTGTCTTAGGAATGAGCTACAGGAAACTCTTTATACCTACAAAGTCATCCCCAATACCCAAGGAAGCTCCTATTTCCATGCTATGGTGATGGAACAAGCTCCCCAACAGTGTGGGTACAAAGGAAGACTGGAAGGAAGACGTGAAAACAAAAAGACAGCAGTGGAAGGAGTATCCTATGTTCTTCCGATCTCATACTGTAAGGCAGAGCTCAAACAGTCCAAACAAAAACTGAGATTTGGGTGTGCGGTCTCACTCCCTCTGCTTCTCTTTTAATAGCAGAGGCCAGGAAGCAGACACTTGGGGTGCCATTACTAGCAGGGGACACTAGTCAAGCACACAATGACATAAGATGAAGATGACAGGAACTGTTACGCTGTCATACGGATGAAAGGAGACCCTCACCCTGAGCTTCAGAAGCTTCTACTTAGGTCTTCCTTCCTTTGTTTCTCATCATACCTGCCCACTGAAGATGTAATCCAGGATCTCTCTCATAACCATTACTGATATCCCTTCAAGTTCAATCTTGTAAGTCGATCCATCATCTTTTGGAGGATTATAGTTTAACTTTGTCCTAAGAAAGGGAAAAAAATGTGAAATTTCTATGAAAGAACAGAAACAGCTACAGGTATTTTAAGCACTAAACACTCTAAAGTATATGATACTTACCAATGAGAAGAACCCCTACCTAGAAATTGTTTTTTAATTTTAGATCAATACAATTTTTTTAACTTTCAGCTATAAAACACTTGTTCCAGGTTTGTTTAGAATACTACTTCTTAAAAAGTAAAACAAAAGAGACAACTCACAAGCTAAAATCTATGTAAGTAAGTCTATCACTATTACACCTTGGAAGTCCCATCCCATCCCATCCATGCTTATTTTCTCTTGTTCTTTTATTACCTAATTATTTTCAGTAATGTAACACACACCCCACATACCTACCACCAGAAAAAAGGCTAGGACCTTAGAAATAGTCACCACATACTCTTTTCCCAGCAATGCATTCCTCTGATTTCCCAGCTCCTCCTCCACGTATATACACACGACTTCCCTGCATAGCTTAATAAGACCCTCCCCAGACTCAGTGATTTATACTTTGGTAAGTTACAATGGAGGGTCTCCGGACAGGGTAGAGCAGGCACATGTAAGGGTGGGTATACTGTACCAAAACAAAGAGCTAAGTGCCACTCCTCGGAAAGAAGATGGGACAATCTACTTCCGTAGTGATACTGCCTCGGAAACCCAAGGAGGGGTCACTGTGAGTCGGGTCTGACTCGACAGCACATAACAACAAGAAGTGTTTACACACTGGATGCTACTAACATCAGTCTTCTCTCCTAACTTTGCTCCTAAAATTCTGGAAGGCAGACCTATATATGCCAGCAAGAAACTGGAAGACTCTTCTAGGGGAGGTGACCAGCCTAAGACCTAAAAATACCCACACGTCAATCTGCTCCAACAAAATGATCCGGCTTGATCGTGCTACAGTGAAGCGCAGAATCAGCAAGTCTAACCAGGGGCTGGGCTCCGAAGAGTCCAATACCCTTTGGAGCTATGACTTCTGAAACGTTTTCATGCATAAAATTCAATCTTTCTCTGCCTGCAGGCCAGAGGAGAGACGAGTGACCCAGCTTCCTCAGGTGCTGTCCAGCCACCAATCCCATCAACACTTTCACACATCTGCAATGCCATAGTTTGGTACTCTGCTCTAGTGGCGTAGTTACTAAAGCATTTGACAGCTAACCAGAAGGCTGGTGATTCAAACCTACCAGCCACTCCTCAGAAGGAAGGTTGGGCAACCTACTTCTATAGTGATACTGCCTTGGAAACCCAAGGAGGGGTCACTATGAGTCAGATCCGACTCAACAGCAGTGAATTTTTTTTTTTTTTTTGGGGGGGTCTCCTTAAGAAACTTTGTTTTAGAATCCCAATCTTAAAACTGAACACACAGGATAACTAGATACCTGATAAAGAGGAAAGACAGAAACCAAAATAAACAGAAAACAAAGAGGAATTTGGAGGAAACAGACTACGTAAAACGAAAACTTCAAGTAAAAAAGAAACTTCTCCTTAATATTCAGAGAAAAAGAGAGGCTATGATTCCTAAAGAACAAGAATACTCCTGCTGTCCAGTTGATTCCAACTCATAGCAATCCCACAGGACAGGGGAGAACTGCCTCATAGGGTTTCCAAGGTTGTAATTCTTTATGGAAGTAGACTGCCTCATCTTTGCCCTGTGGGGCAGATGGTGAGTTCAAACTGCCTACCTTTTGCTTACCAGCCAAGCACTTAGCCACTGTACACTACCAGGGGTCCTGAAATAGGATATTATAAAAGAACGAGCATTCAAAGAGCAACAAAAAAATCCCAAAATTTTAATGACTACAATTTTTTTTTTTAATGTAACCAAACCAAACCAAACTCACTGCCATCAAGTCTGATCCGACTCATAGCGACCCCTCCTTGGGTTTCCAAGGTGGTATCACTACACAAGTAGACTGCCCAACCTTCCTTCCAGTTGGAAGGAGTTGTTGGTGGGTTTGAACTGTCAGCCTTCTGGTTAACAGTCACATGCCTTAGGCACTATGCCACCAGAGCTCCCTTAAATGTAACAGAAGGGTCCAAATAAAAAGTTGAGGAAACACCCTGAAAGAAAATAAAAGAATATAGGAGAGACAAGTTAAGAAAATTGGAAGATCAGTCCAGAAGCGTGAACATCTGAAAAACAGGAATTACAAAAAAGAAGATTACTAAGGAACTGCCTATCACTAAAGATGAGAAGAGACCCACTCCAGTGCATATCACAGAACACCCACCATATATGCTACATACACACTGGAAACAAACAAATTCTTACAAGCTTCCAGAAAGAAAAACAGGCTACATTTCAAAAGGAACAGGAACCCAAATGGAGTTCACACTTCTGAATGGAAATTAAACAGCAACAGAGAAAGACCTTCAAAATCCTGAAGGAAAAATTATTTCCCAGCTAAATCCAATCCACTGCCATTATCAATTTTGACTTACAGAGACACTACAGGACAGAGCAGAACTGTATAACAGGGTTTCCAAGGCTGTAATCTTTACAGAAGCAGACTGCTACATCTTTCCCTTGTGAAACAGCTGCTGAGTTTGAACTGCCAACGTTTTAGTGAGCAGCCGAGAGCTAACCACTGTGCCACCAGGGCTCCTTATTTCCTAACTTCATTTTTATAATCAGCTAAACTATCAATCACATATCTGGTCAGCACATAAGACATAACTCACTGCACTTTACTTTATTGTGCTTCGTAGATTTTTTTTTTTTTTTAAGATAACACATTGCAGGAGTGTGGTAATCCTGTGTTGAGTAAATCTATTGGCACCCTTTCCCAACAGAATGTGCTTCACTTCATGTCTCTGTCACATGTTGGTAATTCTCACAATATTTCAAACTTTTTCATAATGTTATTGCACACTTAACAGACTACATACAGTACAGTGTAAACATAACCTTACACGCACAGGGAAAGCAAACGATGCACATAACCTGTTTTGTTGTGACATGTGCTTCCTTGAAGTAGTCTGGAACTGACCTGGCAATGGTGATGTCTCTGAGATGCGCCTGTAAAGGCATTTTCAGCTACATAAAGTCTCAACACAACTGACCTCCCACGCGGCCTTTCTCAGGATATTGCTGGGAAACATTCCCACCAAAAAAGAGTGAGTGTAAATCAAGAAAGGAGCCATGACGGTGCAATGGTTAAGAATTTGGCTGCTAACAGAAAGGCTGGAGGTTTGAATTTACCCAGTGGTGCTGCAGGAGAAAATCCTGGCAATCTGTTCTCATAAAGATTACAGCCTTGAAAACCCCATGAGGCAATTCTACGTTATCACATGGGGTTGCTCTAAGTCGAAAACTGACTCAACAGAACACAACTAACAAAGAAGTCTGTATCATTCAGAGCTTTATGTCCATGGAAGAGGGCTGTATCTTTTAAATTACTACTTAGGGCCAAGGTAATCTGTTTGCTGTACACGGTCTCTTCTTACTGGTTTCCGAATTGCTGAAAAAAAATCTAACATGTCTAATGCCATAACAAACAATCCAACTAATCAGGCTTGGTCCTCCTCTTCCAAGACGCATTTTAGACATTACTGTACAGGATTTGATATGACAGTAATCCAGAATGAGTCTAAGTGGCTTTCCCCCCTCTAATTTAAAGCTTGTTGCCAACAAAAACAAGGAAACATACCCAAATAGAATGCAAGAGAATGTAAGTAAGGGTCAAGAAGTCAAGATGTACAGAAATTCTAGGGTGATTCATGGATGTTACTCTTACAGTTTCAAAAGACTCTTGTCACCGTGATTCTCCAGCTACCAAGAGCAGGCCTATGGAGAGGGGCCTGGGCTCTCCACGCCACGTGCCCACCTACATCCAAAGAGTAATTCTTGTTCATGTGAGGGTTTTAAGAGTTCAGACAGCCCCCATTTCCTTTCAGTCTTCATAAACTCCTGAAAACCACCTCAAAAATGGGTATTTTCAGTTCCCCTTTAACTGAACTAAGTTTACTTTGAGTTAATACTTGTATCAGCAGATGACATCCTTTCACACAGGCTTTTAGGGGAAACATTTTATGGGTAGGAAACAGGAACCCATATACTTGTAGTTCCTGCCATCCAAGAATTCCAGCTACACAAGAGGAAAAGCACTTACAAGGCCTGGGTTGCCTGAGCAGAGACCTCAAAGGGTAGGCCCAGGACATCTGCAGGCCAGAGGAAGGATCCACAGACCTCTACTTATGCCTCCCTCTTCCCAGAGCCAGGACCTAACTAACACTGTAGCTCTTCCCATGTGATCAGGCAGGGAACAGAGAGTGCTAAGGAGAGGAAATAATAAGAAGGTACAAGTATGATGCTGCCTGGCCTGCCTGGGAGCTGCCACCAGCCTGATACTGCTGCAATGGAAGCCAAGACCACACGATCACGTTGAGATAGCTGGGCTTCACCCAGAGTGGCATTCTGACAGAGCTCACACATGGTGTCTTTGCTCCCAGCACCCCCTTTACTTTCCTTCTCTCTACTCCTCTCCTCTCCAATCTTTTACTTATACAGACTATGTGTTTTACTTACTTCCAAGCAATTCTTTTTTCCCTCACGCAGATCCTGAACTACTTACAGTTTGAATGGATTTTACGAGTAAAAATCTGGCTTCCTGGCATCTCCTCAGGACCTTTTATGAAAAGCAGATTTCTGGGTCCCATCCCAGACTAAGTCAGGTCCAGGACAGTCTGCTTCCAATAACCAGGTTGTTCTGCTGTGGTCCGTGCTTCCCGGAATGACCTTTCCACCTCCCACCCTCAACTTGCCCTGGTTTAACCCTTCACTGAGTTCAGGTCTCCACTCCAAAGAACAGCCCCCGAGCTCTCCTCCTCTGTTCCGTTTTATCTTTATAGAATTTATATTGTTGTTGTTGTTGTTGTTATATGCCGTCGAGTCGGCCCCGACTCATAGCGACCCCTCCTTGGGTTTCCGAGGCAGTATCACTACGGAAGTAGGATTGCC